AAAAGCATGAACGGGGAATCGAACCAAGTATTTGGTTTCTTTAACCTGTAAATTCGAATTAAAGTGGCTAGGTGGAGACAAGCACAGTGGCAAAATATTAGTTTAAGTAGATAAGTTAGGTATTCAGACAAGTGTTGTAAATTGTGCTGTTCCCTGCGGCTTCGCCTGCGTGGTAATATTATGCGAGAAACCCTAAAATGAAAACCGACTAAGTTACTCCTTATAACGTCAGATATCTGCCAGTATAGAATAGAATGAATAGAATGATATTTTTATTCAATATTGATTATTACATAATACTTATTTATATTTTTTATATATATTTGAAAGTTATTTTTTATTTACCACTGGTTCGGAAAATACCTCTGTCCTGGAAAGAACCAGAACCAACAAGAAACCCAGCGGGACTTTTTTTAAACATAATTTCACTTCACAATAATTTTGTTTATACATTTTTAAATGAATTTTCATAGAACCAGCATGGTCGCGATCACCTTATTCCCAGGGGATATTATCATTCATGTATTTCTTGATAGCATTATGAATTACCATACGTGCCTTATTTGACACATTCTGACTCCTCATAATAGCGTGTAGAGCCCCATTAACTCTATTTCCTGCGTTCACTCGTTGTTCTCTATCCTTATCATATCTACCATCCCTGCTAAATAAACTTTCCAAATATACAAACTCATCCACTTGCTCAATCAACTCCCCTTCTATTCTTATTTCACATACCGTTTTACTTTCTTCTCTTTCAAAAACCATTACTTTCATCTAACTTGCGTTCACTTTCATACCCCTTTCTTTTAATGACCAGTTCATTAAAGTAACCATCATTTGCAACTCGGCCTCCGACGATGCAAATATGACTTGATCATCGGCGTACAAAAGACATTTGACGGTTGACTCACCCATTCTCAACCCACATTGTTCAACTTTCAAAGTTTGCAAACAACTGTACATAAATAGGTTAAACAGCCACGGGGACGCTACACAGCTCTGTCTCACACCTTTTTGAATGCCAAAGCAGTTTGACTAGACCCCGTTGATCCTGACACAAGCACTAGAGTCTATATAAAGAGACCTTAATGCCTGTATCAAACCAACGCTCAAACCAAATGAGTTCAGTGTTTGCCATAACACATTCCTGTCCACTCTGTCATAAGCATTTTCCAAATCCATGAACGCACAAAAAACTTTCTGGTTTTTGCTCATAAACTTCTCCGCAATCATGCGCATGGCAAAGACCTGATCCGCACACCCCATCCTCTTTCTAAATACAGCTTGCACATCCCGAAATTTTCCATCAGTTTCTTCCATAACTCTTCCAATTAACACCTTAGCATACAATTTACCCACAATGCTAAGCAAGCTGATACCACGGTAGTTTTTACAGTCTTGCTGTGACCCCTTTCCCTTATATATTGGGAATATAACGGCTTTGTACCAGTCTTCTGGTACCCGCTTCAGTTCCCAACATAAGTTAGACTACGTGTACAGCAGGCCTGCGACCATACCCCCTCCAGCCCTTAGCATTTCGAGTGTTACTCTATCATATCCGGCTGCCTTACCTGCTTTCATGCTTTTCATTGCTTTCATTATTTCATCTACACTTATCTCCTCTCTCTCAACTTCTTTCGGAATTTATATTTCACTTAATTCAGACGACTCTTCACTCTTAAACGCGTTTTCAAAATATTCCTTCCATTTCTTCAAACTTCAAACTTCATCATTCAGCATGCAGCCATTCTCGTCTCGTATGGAATTCAATCAAGGCTGTTTTGAATTTCCCCTGGCAGTTCTTACGAGTTTGCTGAACATTTTAATATTTGCCTGGAAGTTATCAGATATCATTTTATCATTCTTATCCATCCTTTCTTGCTTTTTCCTAGTCCTATAGTGCCTACTTTATTGTATGATAGTGAAAGTTGGGTCTGGTAGAAGAAGCATAAAAGTATAATAAATGCTGTAGAAGTGTGGTCCTTAAGGAGTATGCTAGGGCTGAATCTGAATGACAAGGTGAGAAATAGTGTGATAAGAGAAAAGTGTGGTTTGCAAGATGATGTTGTGACCAGGATTAAGAAAGAAATGCTCCAGTGGTTTGTTCATATAGAAAGAATGAACGAGGAAAAAGTGACAAAGCAAATTTATGTTGCAGAATTGAACGGCAGGGTCGGGAAGGGACGCCCTAGACAAAGGTTTATCGACCAAATCGGCGATACATTGAAAATGGGACAGATTAGGAGTGCCCTTAACCGACGTGCGTGTATGGGTAGATATATGGATGTAAAGGAGGCGAGAGAGGTGTGTCAGGATCGCGCCAAATGGAAGTCCATAATCTCTGCCTACCCCTCTGGGTGACCGGCCTGAGAGTTTGTGTGTGTGTATTCCTTGATATTATAATAACCCTTTTTGTACAGTTTTTCTTTAATAAAACTTTTAAAGATGTTTATTGACAAACTTTGAAAATGTTTTGGGATTTTTTGTAAAAGCGGATACATTGCATAAACGAATTAATAATTCTGTGGAGTCTAGTAACTGGCATTACAAGCTTATATTTGTTCCTAGTGTTTAAGGTATGAACATGCTTATTCTTATTAAATCTATTTATGTTTTTATGTACATACATTACATTTTAATAAATATATTGCGATGCTCAAGTTAATATGTTTATTTCTTTAAATTTTTGTCTGAGGGCTCTTTACAATTTAGGTTGTAAATCGCCCGAATGGCTCTCTTTTGCAAAACAAATATAGATTCAATATCAGTCACATTATTAATATGTGGAGTACCGAAGATATTAGTCTGTAAGTGTTCCTAAAATGACTAAATAAATAAATAAATTATCCCATAGCAAAATTCCATAAGACATTACGCTATGAAAGTAACTAAAATACACTAATCTAGCTGTCTCCATATCTGTGAGACTTCTAAACTTTCTTACAGCGTATGCTGCAGAACTAAGTCTGCTTCTTAATTTATATATATATATATATATATATATATATATATATATATATATATATATATATAAGGGGGCCCCATTGAAGCTTCTCATCAATAGTAATACAAAGAAAAACAGTGGTATCCACAAGACTCAACTCCTCCCCATTTAAGAGCACATTGGTTTTCGAATGTTTTACATTAGGTATTGTAAATTTAATACATTTTGTTTTATTGCCGCTTAAGAGCAAATTGTTGGCGTTAAAGAAATGTACTAATTTCGATAGAGCATTATTTACATTGTTATAATTAATTCACTGCCGTTTGAGTTTGAAAATTAAACATGTATCGTCAGCAAATAATACTAAGTGATTGTTCCCTACAAGATAAAGTAAGTCATTAATATAGATTAAGAACAGGAATGGGCCAAGAATCGAGGCCTCAGGAACGTCCATTGATACTACCGATCCGTAGAAACCTTTACCATTGATCACGACTTTTTGAGTTTTGTTACTTAAATATGATGTAATAAGTCTAAGCGCGAAATTTTTTAACACCGTAATGTTGTAGTTTCCTGATTAATGTCTCATGATGAACACAATCGAAAACCTTGGAAAGATCACAGAAAATATCTAAGCTATCTTCTGAATTCTTCCGGGCATTAAAAATATACTTCATAAGCCCAACACCGGCGTCAGACGTTGAGCCACCCCTTGTAAAACGAAATTGGTTTTTATGTAGTAATTTATTTGTATTAAAAAAAAATTAACAATTGATCCAAAATTCTTGTTTCAAAATTTTTACTGAGAGTTGGTAGTACAGAAATAGATCTAAAATTAGTGGGGTCCAATGGGCTACCGGATTTAAATAAAGGTATTACTTCATTAAATCAGAAAACACACCAGAATCGATACAAGTATTGAAAAAGTGCATCCATTTGCGCGCGCCGGACCTGACAATGTTATATCGTCGTAATTTTTAAAATATTTGACAAAATTATGTAGTTTAAAAGACAAAGTCTGTCTACTATAAATATCAGAAGCGATAAAAGTATTTATTTTGATAAAAATCAATTTGTTATTGCAAAATGTGCGTTGGAAATAAAGTGTCAAAATTTATTGTATATATCGTTCACTATTTTTTTAATAATGGCTCACACATAAAATATGTACTATCGCGGACTTTTATGTACAACTATTTAGGAGAAACAATTCCACCATATATTACATTCGTGTTACCCTTAAAGTTTTTGCACCAAAAATCTCACAGGTGACAGATTTTTCCGACTTACTTAACATTTATCGTTGGATTTTGGCCAATTTAAACAACATCTTTAAGAATTATAGCCTATGTGTTATTCCGATGTATGAGCTATATAATTGTAAAGTTTCATTAAATCCATTTAGTATTTTTTGGTTGAAAAAGTAACAAACATCCATACATCCTCCCAAACTTTCACGTTTATAATATTTATAGGATTGGTACGATCGCTAGCTGTGGGCAGCACAAATTCGGCGTCCGCGCAAATATTGACCCTATTGTCAGTTGATTTATTCATTTTATATTCCACTGCTGGTTTTATGTTCAAGTATTTTCATGATTTTTTGATGAAATTATTGTTTCATCTAGCTGTACTAACATGATGGAGCGTGAATAAAGCTAATAAAACGTGAAAAATGTTTTTTATAGGTTTTTTTTTATGTTCTTTCTGACGCGTCATCAAAGGAATTGTTAGTACTATCGCCTGTCTTCGTTTTCGAGAGCGTTTCACGAACATCCTGTATACATATATTACGTTACATATTATACAGGCACGAAGTTTTCAAATTCATCATCATAAGTGCTTAAAATGTTTTCTAAATAATAAATTTCGTCCTTAATCTTTACTGTTCATTGATCACATGCATAATTTCCATACATAATATGAAACACTGTATAAAGTATTCTACTATTACACTACTACATTCTCTCGCAGGCTTAATCCTATAAATGTATTTGTTTGTCTCTTTATAGTGTCTTGTTTTCGTTTCATCGAGTTTCAAATCACAACGATTCTAAAGAGAATAATGTAGTTTACTTTTAACTAAATCTTTAATCTCTTGAGCAGACAGCGTATGATTGTCTTCCGGTACTACACACGCTACTGGCAGCTCACTACACTCTTCGTCTGGAATGCCGGTCACAGCAACGTCGTAAACGCCAGGGTGTGTCCGTATAACTTCTTCAATTTCTGTAGGTGATATCTGAAAACGTCATTTATTATTACAGCCTTTCATAAGTCCACTGCTGAACATAGGCCTCCCCCAAGGAATGCCACAAAGCACGGTCCTGAGCCACCTGCATCCATCGACTTCCTGCATGTCTTACCAGGTCGTCACTCCATCTCGTGGGGGGTCGCCCTGCACTACGCCTACCGGTACGAGGCTGTCACTCGAGAACCTTTCTTTCCCATCGGTTGTCGGTTCTACGAGCTATATGACCGGCCTACTGCCACTTCAGCTTACTAATCCGTTGGGCTATGTCGGCCACTCTGGTTCTACTGCGGATATACTCATTTCTAAGTTTATCACGCAGAGAAACTCCGAGCATAGCCCCCTCCATAGCTCGCTGAGCGACCTTGAGCTTCCTCATACGGCCAGCAGTGAAGGACCACGTCTCAGTTCCGTAAGTAGAGTCAGTGACTTATGTAACATCAAAAAGGCAAATCATTGCCTGCTTCCTTGCGGAAAGCAGGCAATGATTTGCCTTTTTGATGATTTCTCACATGAATATCACCAAATTTTATAGGTATAGTAGCTTCAATCCAGGCTGTTGTGTTTAAAGTTAAATTTATAATTTTTTCTATAGCTATTTTAAATATCAATATCTTTTAAAATACCCGAAAATTTCCAGACTGGATTCGAGCGGAATAAATATGTAAATCTAGGTACAAGAAGACAATATATTAAAATAGTAAGAGCAATATGGGGGTTTAATTTATACAATTTAGCAACGTGGTTGAAAAATTAATCAAATTTTGTTTTTAAAACAGGTTTAATACTGTCGAAATACAAGTTTTTATTCCTGGAGAAATATGATTGAAATTTTGAATTATAGTGTCTCTATGAGAAGTAGATAAATTAATGGAAAAAAATATTCTAATATACTAATTTATTCACATGAGCATTCATATTGTTCATTTCACATCTGAGGAGAATTCTAATATTTTAGAAAACAGTATTCGTTGTTTTTCTTCTTTTTATTTTTTTTTATTAATGTTACCTCCACAACTTTACTTTCGAGAGTCATTACGAATCGTCTCGCATGCAGACTCGACGACTTCCAGCCTCCCGATCAAGCCGGTTTATGAAGAGGCTTTAGTACCATAGACCACATACACACCCTTCGGTAAATTGTACAGTAGACAGAAGAATACAATTTGCCACTTTACCTTGCATATGTGGACTGTGATAAAGCCTTTAATTCCGGCGATATTTGGGTGGTGCTACAGTCCCTTCAGCAGTGCCAAGTTGACTGTGGATATATTGAAGTGTTGAAGTGTTTGTACAGTATCCAGTATATACAGTATACAGTACCATGGCTATCCGAGTACAAAATCAGAGTACGAAACCTATCCAACAACGAGGTGTAAGACAGGGTGACATTATATCCCCGAAACTCTTCACCGCTGCATTTCAAGACGTTTTTAAGCTACTGGACTGGAAAGGATACGGTATTAACATCAATGGCGAGTAGTTCACTCGCCTCCGATTTTCCGACGATATAGTCCTTATGGCAGAATTGCTGGAGGACCTAATCACTACGCTCAAAGACCTCGATAGTGTCTCCCAAAGGATAGGTCTTAAGAAGAACGTGGACAAAACAAAGATCTTGTGTAATGTCGATGTCACACCTACGCCGGTAGTCGTTGGGAGCACTAAATTCGAAGTTGGTGACGAGTATGTTTACCTGGGTCAAATAGTCCGACTAGGTATGTCCAACTTCGACCGAGAGGTCAATCGACGGATTCAACTCGGCTGGCAGCGTTCGGGAAACTACGACACATCTTCTCGTCAGACATACCTCAAAACATTAAAACGAAATTGTACAACCAGTGCGTGTTGCCAGTGAACTAAGACGTGGTCCTTCACTGCTGGCCGTATGAGGACACTCAAGGTCTCTCAGTGAGCTATGGAGAGGGCTATGCTTGGGGTTTCTTTGCGTGATAAACATAGGAATGAGGACATCCGCAAGAGAACCAGAGTAACCGACGTAGACCAACGGATTAGTAAGCTGAAGTGGCAATGGGCCGGCCACTTAGCTCGAAGAACCGACAACCAATGTGAAAAAAAGGTTCTCGAGTGGCAGCCCACTACCGGTAGGCGAAGTGTAGGACGTCCCCCACTAGATGGAGTGACAACCTGGTAAGACATGCAGGAAGTCGATGGATGCAGGTGGCTAAGGACCGTGCTCTGTGGCATTACTTGGGGGGAGGCCTATGTTCAGCAGTGGACTTGTGAAAGGCTGTAATGATGATGATGATACCTCCACAATAAGATTTTCTCCCGTTTCGTCGTTACTTGTACAAGCGTAAACATTCAGACATGAAACAATGAATTGTAGGCCTTACAATAGAAATACTTGTTCCGTGCGGGATTGCAACTAAGCCACTGCGCCACGGAAGTGACAATTTAAAAAAAGTACTAGTAATGTTATTAAACATTACTAATATTCCCTTTAACTACTTTTGGTAAGCTTAAAATGCTTGTGTTAAAAGTGGTTCACGACAGTAGTGGCGTGGCGGATTCGAACCCACGACCTTCCGAGTTCGCGGTTCGTGCCCTGCCATTATGCTACTGACGCTTAGTATTATAATTAGTACTATACTCTTAAATTTTATTTTACTACAATTATAAGCTATGAGTTTTGCACAAGACTTCGATTAAATAGAATAGAAGGGTAATATAAAAGGAATTACATTGTGGCTTCGATATGTAAGAATCAGTTTCATGCGATCGACAAAGAAGAAGTTCCAATTCTCGTCCCTGTAGAAAATATCACCTGTCTTCAACCATCTGTCTTCTGTGAATATCTCAGCTGTCATTTCAGGATTATTATAGTAACCCTAGAAAAAATAGTGGTACATTTAAATTTATAATTTAATGTCTTATAAAAATTGTGCGCACTTACACTTTATTGTCCAATTTTAACACAACAAGAAGATCCTTTTTACTGGAAACGAGTATACAAGTAAACGAGTATACAAGTAAACGAGTAAACAGTATTCCATCTTAGGCCTCAAGAGTGACAACGCATTTATTTTATTAAGCTGCTATTTTACGCTGGTATTCTGTGAGAGCGTGGTCGTGCCCGTTACGGTTGAGCCGACCCATTCGTTTACAACCATAATAGAACTGGCCAAGTGCGTATCGGGCCACGCACAATATAGAGGTAGGGTTCCGTAGTTGTCCGTCACAACACGTGGGATTTCTGGATAATGAGCATAATGAGTTCGTGGTTTGACTGCTATAACGAGTAAAAATGAGCCGAAATAGGAAGATCGTTGTTTTCAAATAAGACTTATACGGAGTGGTATTCAAAAAAGATTAAAAAGACTTTTCGATTTTGGAAATAATACCTACAATTTACATCAAATCATTCACATGCTAAGGTACAAAGTTCATCATAGTTGACTATCTATCTATATATTTCCTGCAGTGAAACCCTGTACATATATGACCGTAACGAACCGTCACGTAAACCACCACTGCCCTAAGAGGAGGTCGCCTGCGTAAACCAAGAGTGTGACGAATGAAACTGTATGATGCTATATGATTGTATGAATACTTTTAATGAAATGGACAATAACTACCGACTAAAAAATAAGTGAAAGTAGTAAGTAAGTAAGAAAGATCATCTCTGCCTATTCCGGAAATGAAAAAGTAAAGCTATAGTAGTAATCCATATAAATCATTTTCTTTATAAAATGTTTATTTTTAACACTTTACAATAACATTACAAAGTTGTAATGCAGCTAAATTTAGGTCATTTTATAAGGAATTGTAAAGAATTTTTTCTAATCCAAGTTCATTTTACAAGATGGTCGACTATTACTCGTTAACTTCTTAATTTATTTTACAACGCATCTGCATTTTGATTCTTAATCGAAGATAGATGTAGATGTCTATGGGCCACAGCAACCACTTACCATCAGGTGGAGTGGGTGCTCGTTTGTAACCCTTATCGTATAAAAAAAAATTATACTTAGTTGTGATAGTTTTACTTTTAACTTCATTATATATACTACTAGCCTGTATACTGTTTACATTTCCACAGTTTTCTAGGCGTGATTAAGGCTTTAACTAGCCTGAATGACCTTGACGAAACGGCGATCGCAGAGATTTTAGCCGATGTCAACACTGTCTAGCAACTACGTTCTGTATTACTTATAAAAGTGCAAAGATTAATATTTTTTTTTTTTATAGGACAATGGTGACAAACGAGCACACAGTCCATCTGATGGTAAGTGGTTTCTGCGGCCCATAGACATCTACATACATCCTCTCTTACAAGTCAAAATGTAGATGCGTTGTCACCCGTGAGGACTAAGATGGAATGCCTCATTTCCAGTAAAAAGGGCCTCCGGCCACCTGCACTCACCAAGCGAAACGCAGAGGTAAACCTCTACTTCTCGCTGGTTTTCTGTGAGGTCGTGGTACCACCCCGGTTCGAGCCGGCCCATCCGTGCGACAGCAAAAGCTGCCGCGTGGCTCTACCACTGTAAAAGTACTGTAATAGACTGCAGAGATGACAATTATATAAGTGACATACTGCCTGTTATGCTTGCGCATCACTGAGAATTATGTCGCGATTACGCATCTTCAATTACATTGCACGGTGTGGTGCTGTAGCTTTGACCGGTAGGCATCACGAGCTATCAAGTGTTCAAGTTTCAAGTACGTAAGAATTTTTATTATATATGTTAAATCGTATTTATTTGTGTCGTATTAAAAATATGTCGTCAAAGCGTTCGCTGTAAATTTTCCCGGGTTTGATCCCCGACAGCACGAATGAAATTTGTAATTGCAATTTTCGTCAACACGCATTGGGGAAGCACGGCGGGCATTTCCTTGCCCTAAAACCCTCTCAGAAATAAAAAAAGAAACCTGTGCCCAGTAGAGGGACTTGTATAGCCTATTACTTTACTTTGTAGCAATATTTATATTCGTTTCAGATATAGAAGGGTACCTTATGCTGACAAAAATATCATGTGGAGGCGACGAAAACGAAAAACATCTTTGTACCTAGATAAAACGTTCGAAAGATTGTCAGTCATGTCATACGCCACATTTTCTATAGAGCGTAGAACATTGCAGATAGGGCAAAATAAAAAATAATCCAATATATTATGGGAACTATTTATTAACAATATATACATTTATAGGTATTTATAATAAAAATAATGAACAAGCTGCAAGGTTCAACTAATAATGATTTTTGTAAACACAATCGTAAAATTCCTGTTTTAATTTTTACCAATATTTGGCCTTCTACTTACAACTCGGCGGAAATTTGAAAAGAAGATTTTGTCTTTTCACACAAGTATTGTTTACAACTGGCGTGGTTTCGAAAAGCGTGATTATGTGTCAGCGGTATATAATCAATTAAATACTGAACTTTATTGAAATTTATTTTTTATTTATTTTTTTATATCTTCTTAAAAACAGACGCCATCTCACTATTTTATTATTTGTTTTTTTTTGTACGCATAAGGATAAATTAGACTAAGTTAGATTAACTTGGATAAGTTTATATTTTTTTTAATTTTATCACAAAATTTCTGCAATAAATTATTACCTTTTCTACAGTGATTCTCTCCTCTTAGTTTCGGCGTGACTGTAGGATGTTATAGTGAGTCACCGTCAGTTACTAAGCGGCCATTAATTATTATATGTATGTATAGACATACATATATACATTTTTTGATTTTTATATTTATGTTTTTTGAATTTTGATTGATATTTTGAAACCTGGTAAAATTACTTTTTTCCATACCAATTGATGGCCCTGAGTATAATGCCAGTTATGCTCTTTGGCTGAAGTTATTTTTTATTTTATGCTCAATTGCAGACAAAACAATATTGATTGCGCATTTCTAAAACAAAATTTTACCTCTTCTCCTTCTAATAATAGCTCCTGCACCTAACACGGCGGAATAGTTATTATTATCTATAAGACCATTTGGGAAAACAGTTTTTGTTAACAGTTATGAGTGTAACATTTTATCAGCTGCTTTGTTTATAGTGCCTTGAGCAACAGTTTGCCGGTTTCTGTACAGAAAATGATGCTGGCTTTGCAAATACGGATGGCCGCTACCATTGAATATAATTCCCGCTATGTTACACTTATTTACATAGAAACTTTAACTATCATTTGCATAAAATTCTAAATAGCACTTTTTACACACGAAAGTAAACTTTTAGATCAGTCCATTTTGTTTTTCACTAATTAAGTAAAAAGTGAAACAAACCAATAGGGCCGGGAATTAAAATTTCTTGCAACTTTTTATAGAAAAGCATGACCTTATCATAATATAAAAGTCAATCATTTAGCCATGTGATAAAAATTTTAAGTGTGCCAGTCAAACATTAATGATGATATTCGGGTCATTATACTGGAAATACTCTTTTAAATATTTTGTAGTACAATTGATAATCTTCAGTATGATTGACCGTGTATATGACTTTTATAAGTCTATGCTAATTTTGATGAAAATTATTATTGCAGATAAAAGCCCTTTCACATTTATTTTAGTCTCGAATTAAATTAATCAAAATGAAAATAATAACATTGGCTCTTTATAACTGATCTTTAAATGTAAAACACTAATTTGAAATTATATAATTATTAGCATTTTTTTAATTCATTGAACTTTTTTAAGATTTTGTTGAAACTCTACTGGTAAAAAAAAACAATTATATATATTATAGTTCTTGATGAAAATAATGTATGCGCGTTACATCGCATCCCATCAAGAATTTCTAATGTAATTCTTGGTGTAAAGCTAAGACGTGATAATAACTGTAAACAATAGAATAACAAAATAATGAAAACATTTACATTTACATACAAAACATTTACAAAAATACTTGCTTTGTAACCTTATAAATATTATTTGACCGTAATAAAATAAAACGTTTTTATTACGTGGTAGAGCCATGCTGCAGCTATATTAGTAGTATAGTTGTATTACGAATGGGTCGGCTCGCCCGGGGAAGGACCACGCTCTCACAGAAAACCAATGTAAAATAGCAGCTTAACGCTGCTGTGTTTCGTATGGTAAGTGTAGAGAACCGGAGACCCTTTTTACTGGCAAAGAGGCATTCCATCTTAGTCCTCACGGGTGACAACGCATCTGCATCTTGAGTCTTTATTGAGGATAGACGTAGATGTCTACTTACCATTACTACTCACTTACCATCAGGTGGTCTGTGTGCTCGTTTGTCACCCTATATTATAAAAACAATATAAAAACAAAAAAAAACAAGGTAGTCTTGGGCATGAAAGTAAAAATAAATATTTTCGATTATTTTTGCAATATATAACAGCCGGATCAGCGGGCGATTCTGATCCATCTAAAGATGCTAAATTTCAGCAAGCACTGTCTAATTCAATAGGAGTGACAGAAAAACGGTTCTTGATATAGAAAGGTAAATAAATTATTTAACCTATAAAGTAAAATCACTTTATTACAAATCAAAATAGCCCAATAGCTTTATTAACATGAGACATAATTGTACGAGTGCTTACAATACTTAACATTATTTTACTGATATCTCAGAAAGTTTTTTTTAAATAGAATAAGGGTGACAAACGAGCACACAGTCCACCTGATGGTAAGTGGTTGCTACGGCTTATACACATCTACATCTATCATCGATTACGTATCAAAATGTAAATGCGTTGTCACCCGTGAGGACTAAGATGTAATGCCTCGTTTCCAGTAAAAAGGTCCTCCAGTTCTCTACACTCACCATACGAAACACAGCAGGGTTAAACTGCTATTTTACATGTTATTCCGTGAGAGCGTGGCCCTTCCCCGGTCGAGCCGACCCATTCGTGCTACAACTATACCTAATAAATATAGCTGTAGCATGGTTCTACCACTTAAAAAAAAATTGACGTTGAAAATTTAAGTCTTTTTAGAAGCAACTTTCTATTGAGTTAATTTTTGTGGAATCGTGTTTTGCAAACCGCCACCTGAAATACGTACAATTTTTTTTCGATAATGACGTGAAATTACAAAACCATCCCCATGCATTTCAATGTGGCTCTATTTAGCCTCTTAATATATAATATTTATACCTCGGATTTCAGAGATAATGGAAGATATAATATTATATTATTACTGTTCCGTGTGAGGCAACCTTTATACTTATATACATATTCTCATCATATTTTTATGGTTGCTTAGAAAAATTATATCTAAATGCAAACTTTCACAGGGTAAATTTTTTTTTACTATTTTTACCCATCAAGTAGTAAAGCAACTACAATCCCATCGGTAAGTGGTTATGTAGTCTAAGATGGTGAATTGCACTGACTTAACAAAAACCTATTCACTCTTGCCTAATAGTACTAGGTAAGTATTATTTGCGGCCTATTTGTGTTTGTGTGTGTGTGTGTGTGTGTGTGTGTGTGTGTGTGTGTGTGCGCGCGCGCGCGCGTGCTTGCGCGTGCTTGCGCGTGTGTGCGTGCGTGTGTGTGTGTGTGTGTGTGTGTGTGTGTGCGTGTGTGTGTGTGTGTGTGTATGTGTGAAGAAAAGCGTATGAGAATACGTGAAGAGGAATAAAGGTTGAGTACTAATTCGCTTACCTGTACGAGCTTGCCACTCGAGGACTTTTCTTCCTATTTTTTATATGTTTTCCAAGTTATATAGCTAGCTCATTGCCATTTCACTGTAATATTCCGTTGAGCTATGTCAGTTACTTTTTTTTTATTTATTTTTTATAGGATAAGGGTGACAAACGAGCCCACAGTCCACCTGATGGTAAGTGGTTGCTGCAGCCCATAGACATCTACATCTATCTTCGATTACGAATCAAAATTATATTTTTTTTCTAATGCAAATACCTTCATTTCTAACTTTATCACGTAGAGAAACCCCTCTCCAATTTAAAATTTTTACATTTTTTAGATGATAGTTTCATCATCATCATCATTACAGCCCTTCACAAGTCCACTGCTGAACATAGGCCTCCCCCAAAGAATGCCACAAAGCACGGTCCTGAGCCACCTGCATCCATCGACTTCCTGCATATCTTACCAGGTCGTCACTCCATCTAGTGGGGGAACGCCCTACACTTCGCCTGCCGGTACGAGGCTGCCACTCGAGAACCTTTCTTCCCCATCGGTTGTCGGTTCTTCGAGCTATATGGCCGGCCCATTGCCACTTCAGCTTACTAATCCGTTGGGCTATGTCGGTCACTCTAGTTCTACTGCGGATATCCTCATTTCTGAGTTTATCACGCAGAGAAACTCCGAGCATAGCCCTCTCCATAGCTCGCTGAGCGACCTTGAGCTTCCTCATCCGGCCAGCAGTGAAGGACCACGTCTCAGTTCCGTATGTCATCACTGGCAACACGCACTGGGTGTACAGTCTCGTTTTCAAGTTTTGAGGTATACCTGACGAGAAGATGTGCCGTAATTTCCCGAACGCTGCCCAACCGAGTTGAATCCGTCGATTGACCTCTCGGTCGAAGTTGGACTTACCTAGTCGGACTATTTGTCCCAGGTAAACATACTCGTCAACAACTTCGAGCTTAGTGTTCCCAACAACTACTGGCATAGGTGTGACATGGACATTAAACATGATCTTTGTTTTGTCCATGTTCATCTTAAGACCTATCCGTTGGGAAACACTATTGAGGTCATTGAGCATAGTGCTTAGGTCCTCCAGCGATTCTGCCATAAGGACTATATCGTCGGCAAATCGAAGGTGAGTGATGTACTCGCCATTGATGTTGATACCGTATCCTTTCCAGTCCAGAAGCTTGAAAACATCTTCCAATGCAGCGGTAAAGAGTTTCGGGGATATGACGTCACCCTGTCTTACACCTCTCTGCAATTGGATAGGTTTCGTACTCTGGTTCTGTACTCGGATAGCCATCGTAGCCCTACTGTACAAGCACTTCAACACTTCGATATACCGACAGTCAACTTGGCATCGCTGAAGGGACTGCAGCACCGCCCAAATTTCGACGGAATCAAAGGCTGATAGTTTGTCTAACATAAAAAAAAATCATAAACCCAAGAATGTCTTTATATAGTTATTTATACTTAGGTAAGCACCATTCTTTTATTTATTTAAATTGTTTGATTTAATTTGATAACAGTGTACCTAAATGTAAGTATCTGTATCTTTATTTCTCTCCCCAATAATATTTTATAAAGTCATACTTATAAAAACAGCGTTTTATTGTAATACATAATTATAAAATTCATTATCAACTAATTAATAAAAATATGCAACAATAAAATTACATAGGTATTAAAAACTATCGCAATCTAAGTAACGAGAGCATGTTCGTCGTTCCACATCTAAATTATATAAAAATGCATTTTTCAATATCACTAATCAACGTCGCCGCAAAAATTTCTTCTTCTTTGGGCACTTTAAAAATTCATCTATTTAGAAAATAATATTTACAGTTACCAGTGTACAGATATTAACTAAATTAAGTACTTCTAGTCATAAAAATATTTATAATTGAGTATAAACTTTTAAAAAACTAATATATATTTGAACGAAGTCGCTCCAACACCGACGTGCGGTCCACCCTCGACGATGTCCGAAAACGGACTGTGACAGAGCTTACATGGCGACGGAGCATGCGCGCTCGCGTAAATATATTCAATTTCAGGGAAAAATGATATATTCTCTTATAAAACGGGTAATAAAAATAAAACTCTCAATTAAAAATATTAATATTTTTAAGACCTTTTTTTTAGTGTAAGAACTATTTAAAAAGCTTGTGCCGTTTTGGAGAAATTTTGCAAAATATGACAAAGATAGGTACTCTTTGGGGATTTTTTTTCCAATAAGGGGTTGACAAAAATACAATTTTGTTAAATTAAAAACATTTACCAAATCTTCTTCTGTTACCATGTATTTTTTCTTTGTGGATTAAATGAACAGTTATTGAGATTTTTTTACTTAAATATCCTAGATTTAGGCATTTCAACCACTGTTAAGGCCTTAATATCTAAAACTACGCCAAATTTTAGATTTGTAGTACCTACGATCTCTGAGAAAAACCGCCCACGGACATTGTGAAAATAGGGGTTTCTCTTTGTGTAACTACGGAACCATAAAATGAAGACAATGTCAATAACGCGGGACGGGGAGTGGATTAATTGTTCATTGACTGTGACCTTGAAATATAAATAGAAAATGGATTAACACTGAAACTTACCTTTATAAAACAATAAAATAACAATACCTTAAAAGTTATTGGTCCTTTTAACCAAAGTTCGCCTGTTTTGTGGGATTCCAAAATGTCTTTTCCCGTTCCTGGATCAACCAACTGAAAAGTAAAATTATTCTTAGCCTTAAACTACCTTTAATTATTATAAAACAAGTTATTAACCGAGTTCAAAAAACGAGAAGGTTAAGTTATAGTCGACGTGTATGTTTTTAAGTATATTGCATTGATTTTTCGAAAACGGCTGAACCGATTTAACAAAAAAATATCTCTGAGGTTTTATTCGTAATCTTCGATAGATTATGTCTTAGCAACGGATGCCATGCAAATAATAGCTCTGACTGGCCTGTAATTTTTTTTAATATCAGTTTGTTCAACATTTTATTAAAAGTTTTTTTAATTGGCATGAAGAATTGCTTACATTAAATAATACTTATAATTTGCGTTAAAGGATTTTATTCACGTTTAATGCATCAATCTTTTAGTGTTGTTATTGTAATTAAGATAATTAGTAGAGAAATAGATAATTAGAAATATTAGTTTAGTTGGGGTGAGATTGGTAATGAAGAAGAAAATATAGGGGTTCACCCCTATATTTTCTCCTTCACAAAGACTTAGACTTCTTCTCAACAAAGTGATTTTCACTTACGCGGTAATCTGTGTGCCCCAATGGCCGTCCAGTGCACCCTGGAATAAAGCTAACTGGGTCCAAAACAATTGTTCCTGTTTCGGTCATTCCATACACTATGTAAACATCTGCGAATGGTGCTACTATCTGAAATTATTAAAGTATTTTAATATTACTTCTTATTATTAGCCATCGGGAGGCTACCGAGTCGACCAATGTGTAATCTATGAGATCGACTGAGGAAGGACCGTGTTCTCATCAAATACCAACAAAAAATTGTAGCATAAATACTTTATTTTATAAATTAGATGTTATTTAAAAGATAAGGATTCGTGGTCATAATCAATTTGACTTTATTTTTTTATTTATTCTTTACTACATTCCTAAAATAAAAGAGTACAAAGGGCGGACTTAATGCCTTGAGGCATTCTCTACCAGTCGACCCAGTGGTCAGAATTTGACGTAAGTGTAGCAACCATACCGAATAAAAATGAAATAAAAATATGACTAACTACGAGACTAATACATTTTAGTAATATATATTTTCTTAAATAAATAAACTAGACAAATATCTCCTTTATATACATACACACAAATATATATATATATATGCATATATATGTATATATTTGTATGTATATATACATACACACAAAAATATACATATTAATATCGGTATATATATATATATATATATATATATATATATATATATAAATAGTGCATATAAATAAATATGAATATATACATCTGTGAAATAACATCGATGATTTGCTGGCGACAAAGAGATTTAAATAAATAGGTGTTGTTTAGGCCAAACAATTAACATTTGAAATTTGCATTCCACACGTGTCCGCCCGCTGACTTTGTAAAGGTCACCCTTGCCCCACTCCCGTGTGCGTCACTCGGTAGAGGGCGTAGGCGTAGAACGCGAGTGCGAAGCCAGTAGCTCGCTGGCAGCGTTACAGTTAATTAGCGTGTCTCGGTGGCCGCTGCCGAAGTTTCGCGCGACCGGTTTATGGTCTAGATTTTAGAATTAGTGCGTGTTACTTCGCTACGTAATTGTGATTTTGTAAAAACCGCCTTGGTTTAGGTTGTCTAGGTTTTAAGCTCGTGACAAGAGACTATTTGACTGATTAAAGTAATTTCTTTGAAAGTAATTGTGCAAATTATATAGTGATTGCGTGTTGAAGTGCATTTTTCAATATTTAACTTACTCGGGTGACATGGAATTTCGAGTGTGCGCCGAGTAGATACTATAGGAATTTGAACCGCGAATTCCTTTTCGAGGGCGTCTCCCGGTTGATTGTTTTGAAAATCATTGTTTAATTATACCGTCGCGTTAAGAGCCTTTTGTGTGTTGACTCTTAATTTTTAATTAGGCGAGTTGAAGTTAATTAAATGTACAATAAAGTTAATAGACTGAAATAGTGACAATGAAGAAAGAAATTGTCCATTGTGGACGCCTGCTGGAGTGATGCAGCATTGTGGGGCAGAATGGAAACCATCGCGCTGCCAGGTCACCTCAGCTTGGCCAGGTCACCCACATATTACTAAACACTACTTTACATGCATCTACTCTACCTACGGCCTGACCGAGCCTTGGGGCGGTCTTAGATTCGGATCCAGGTACGTACTATTTGTTTACCTAGCCTTATATCTAATGTGTAAAAGGATAAGTTTCCATAGGCCGTTAGGCCCCGTCCCTTGTTGCCCGTCGATGGGATTAATCATGGGCCCTATTCCCGTCAACCTTTGTTGGGGCAGCTAGGGGCGTGTACATTTTTGGTATCAGAGCGTGGTTAGGATTGGTTTATTTTTGTGTCTACAATCACGCCCGGCCGTAATACGTAAAAATAAAATTATTTTCCTTTGTTGCTTGCTGTTTGTTAGCGGGTAGAATTAAAAGCCACGCCCGCTAGGTTGCGCAAGCAGGAGTTTGTTAGGGCTAGGTATGTGTCGGGTAGGTAGATAATTCTTATCACTTATAATTATAGTAGATTAATTGTCGAAGGGTCGGTTGCCAGAGCGAGGCATTTTTTGTTGATCGACTGTGGGGTGTACCTTTATTTGTATTGTAATTCGTATTTAATTTAATAAATAGTAATTTGTGTAATTTGTATTTAACTTGAACTGTGGAACTGTATTTGTTATTTGTTAATTAATTTGTATTTGAGCCGCGTAGTAATGTGTATTTAGAAGTGATGCCATCGCGCTGCCAGGGCAATCACCATGCCGTTTTGTGTCTGGGTGCGAACGGCGTTTCCTCTCAGGGCTCTTCCGAGCCCTCGACTCCCACGGGTGGGGGCGCTCAGCCGCTTCCCCTGTCGGGAGGTTGTTCCCCCAGGGGCGGGGTGTCGTCTCCCCCCACCCCTCAGTATGTTGAGAGGGACTTCACTGCCACTCAGCGGTCAGCTAGACCCTTCTCACCCCCGTCAGCTGAGTGGCTGCGACTGGGGTACCAGTTCCCCCTTTAATGCAGGCAGCCCCGGCTAGGTAGCTGCCGCCCTTGCTCCCACCACGGCCGCCTCCACTAATTCTTTGAGCCGTCAACAGCTCACTTGTCAAACTGTTCTATTGCCGACGGCCTCAGTGAGGGTGTACAGCCCGAGCGTCTATTGTTTAACGGTACGCGCTTTATCGGTTCGGGTTCACAACACGGTGTGGCCTCCGCTTGGTTGTTGGGAAGACTAGGGCTCCCCGGGAGCGTTGAATCGTGCTGTTAAGGATTATTAGATTTGGTTTTGGTCGAGCACTTAATTAAAAATGCTTTAAATTAAAATTAAAATTTTTTTTGACTTTCCGCGAAATGTTTCATATTTTTGGTGATTGTGATTAAGAAGGCGAATTTAATGTGCTCTTTGAATACTTGTACATATGTTTTTGTAATTGTTTTTGATCATTGTGTTTGTTTTGTTGAAAGGAAAATTGAAATTGATTGATGTGCTTTTTGAATGTGTGTGTGCATATGTTTCTGTGAATGATTTTGAACACTGTGTTTGCTTATTGAAAAGAAAATTGAAGTTGAAAAACCTATTTGTGCCGAATGGAATAAGAGTCATTCCTCTCTTTGTTTTCACATTTTTGTTTTCACATTTCATTCATTCATTCATTCATTCATTTTTTTGGCACTGTCGAAGATATTTTTTTGGAAAGAGAAATAGGGCTGTCTCTTACGTTTATCGTTTTGTTTAATTTGTCACTTTGATCTATGCGCATCGGTAAATTAATTTGTTTGAATTAATTCAGTAGTTGAACATTGATGCTTTTGAAACTTGGTTGAAATATGAGCATAGGACTACATGTCTAAAAGGGCTAGCTAGTTGGGAGATTATCAGATTGAAATAAGCTGCCGCCCTATTGAGTAAATGATTATATGGTAGATGGCTTGGTTATGCCTACTTGTTTGAAAATTCATACTAACGACTATCTGCGCGTTTCGTTTGGCTCTCCACAGACGCCGTTCATGTGGAACTTGTGGGTGCTCTCTGCACTGAAGCTTGGGTGGCCGCGCTGGGCTGCTTCGTATCGCGTCGCTGTTTGCAGAACTGATCCGGTCGGATTGCGGAACGAATCATAGGGGCACAGATAGGTATTTGAAGGAGATCATCGGACTTCTGTCCAGGAACAGGACTTAGTTAGGTACTGCGATGTCCAGGAAGGGCATCCAGTGGATGTTCGACCCTCCGGCTTGCCCACATTGGGGCGGTATTTTTGACGCGGTGGTTAGGGTTGCAAGATCTGATGGGGTGCCTAAGGTGGCCTAGGTTTGGTTGTAGATTCGGTCTTGCAGCGTGCCGCCGTGACCCTGTCCCACTTGCCGGTTTGCTCGCGGACATAAGTCCTTATGTCCGGGATGGGGGTTTGTTTAGGCCATACAATTAACATTTGAAATTTGCATTCCACTCGTGTCCGCCCGCTGACTTTGTAAAGGTCACCCTTTTTTGTGTGTCTTGCCTAGTGTAGTGGTGTTGGGAGTAGCGGTGCTGGGATTAGTGGTGACGGGGATAGTGCACGCAATTGAGGGAAGGGCGGGAGGTGCTCTTCATACTAGGTAAGACACATCCTTTTTTTTATAACGCGGATATTTGCGAAGTAAATTTTTCTAAAAGCTTTTAAATCATTGTTTAATTATACCGTCGCGTTAAGAGCCTTTTGTGTGTTGACTCTATAGCTAGTTTGCATGTCAGCTAGGTTAATTTTGAATTCTTATTGCGGCGTGGTGTTTAATATCGAACGAAGGAACTTAGTTGTGCTTGAAACGCTGAACCGTGTGACTCATGAAGAGATCGCGTTAGTTCCCTATTTGTAATTTGGTAATAAATGAATCCGGGACATTGAATGTTGAACTTTGAACTACTGTCCGTTTCTTGTGTCGGGTGTCACGTGTTCGATTCTACGATGAACGTTGAATTAGGCGAGTTGAAGTTAATTAAATGTATAATAAAGTTAATAGACTGAAATAGTGACAATGTAGAAAGAAACTGTCCATTGTGGACGACTGCTGGAGTGATGCAGCATTGTGGGGCAGCATGGAAACCGTCGCGCTGCCAGGTCACCTCAGCTGGGCCAGGTCACCCACATATACAAACCACTAAACACTACTTTACATGCATCTACTCTACCTACGACCTGACCGAGCCTTGGGGCGGTCTTAGATTCGGATCCAGGTACGTACTATTTGTTTACCTAGCCTTATATCTATTGTGTAGAAGAATAAGTTTCCATAGGCCGTTAGGCCCCGTCCCTTGTTGCCCGTCGATGAGATTACTCATGGGCCCTAGTCCCGTCAATCTTTGTTGGGGCAGCTAGGGGCGTGTACAGGTGTACTATCTATTTAAATGTCTGGCTGGCTGGCGACGAATTTTCGGAACGTCCTTTTGGGTCCCCGCGAGTCTGGCAGAGCGTTTGAGGTTATTTTGTTACTGCGCAGCATATAAAATTTGCAAAAAAATTCCAAAATTTTTTTTGATAACTTGATTTCTTTTTTATCCTTTAATTTAGATTTTATACAATTCCAAAAAACAATCCCAGACGTTTTTGTAGGTTATAAAGTATTACCAGACCTCTCCAAAAATATTTTTTTAACAATTCCCAAATAATATACTTTTGGCCATCTCTAATTTTAATCACGTATTTATTGAGTAATTTTTAATAATACCTGCCAATCGCCAGACGAGTTTAGCGGTTTTAAACAATTCCCAGACGTGAATAAAGTTTTCAAATGAATACGACAAAAAGTCTTATGCGCAGACATAAGTGCGAGAAAGATAGAGCTTATCGAAGCATGCCGACAGCGGATGGGGGCCTAAGCTACTCGCACTGTGATTGGCTATTAAGAAATATCTTTTTTAAAGATTTTAAGATTAAATGCTTGTTTTGGAATTCAGCATGTCTGTATGCGCATATATGACCATGTAAATATCTGTGTATATTTAGTTTGAATTATTTTAGATCAGTGCTATAATAATTAGTATAATAGATATTAATTTTAACATAAATTTTTTGGCAAAAATATGTTTTTATAATTACCGCCCCATGTTCTTAAAAAAGAACAATATGTATGAAGTGCTTACCGTCCAGAGATGAATTTTTTCACAGTGATGTGGTACAGATATAGATGGCTTTTGAACTACCTACCTACCTACCGACTCGAAGAACCACGTTCTCATAGAATACCATAGTAAAATAGCAGCTTAATGCTGCTTTGTTTCGAATGGTGAGTGAGAGGACCAGAGACCCCTTTTACTGAAAACGAGGCATTCCATCATATTCTTCACTTACTTTATGCATTTATTATTGTATTTTGATTCTCCAAAGAGGATTGATGTAGATATCTATGGACCACAGTATTTACTTACCATCAGCTGGACTGTGTGCTCGTTTGTCACCCTTATTCTATAAAGAAAATAATATTGGCGGACTTGATATATCTTCAAAATATTTGTTTTAAATAACTGAGATATGCAGGATTCTTTAGGTATTTTCTTTCACCACAAAGTGGCACTGCAATCAGTTATTTAATTCTTTATTGATGTTGGTGTTCTCCTAACAGAAACGGGGCTTCGGAAAGGGCCAGTAGAAGTCCGACACAACCTTTTAAAAGTGTTTATAAGCGTGACTGCTGGTCATATGTTGTTCTGGGTTCGAATCCCTGGTTAGACCAATATCAGTTATTGGGGTTTTCTTTGTCTAAAATTTCGGTATCCGTCCGGAGTGAGGAAAGCATTTCGGAAAGTACGTAAAGCGTTGATCCTGTGCTGATCTTTTTCCGGTTGTGTCGGGTTGCCGTCCCACGGGACTATGAGAGTGAGGGAATTGAGTAGAATTGGGGTGTGATCCTGTCCAGCACGCAGATTGTTAGTCTCCGTTGTGACTGAAATTCGGTCTGCAGATAATGTCATTATTATACGACGGTGCCTATACCAACCCCCATACTACTAAGCTGAAAAGATGATCGACCACCTAGGCCTACTTCATAATAATATTAAAGACTTGCAAATATTATGTGATACTTACCTTTATATCATCAATTAATTTTTGCGGTACAGCACTGCCCCCTAATATGAACAGTCTAAAGCATGTAAAGTCACACTTTTCGCGCTGTCCCGGTTTTATCAGGATAGTCATCATCCAGGGACTTAGCAACACAAAAGTAGGCTAAAAAGAATTTTATTATTAATGTTCAGTTACAAAGATTACTTTATGTTTTAAAATGTGACAGAGCAATGAAGGGGTCAAAAGGGAAACCCATCATTTCTTCTGCAGTCCTTTAATCTATTTAATTCCACTGCTTACTATTACTGGTCAAAATAGGTTTTTTGCTCTTTAATCTACAGTGCACTGCAGCTTAGCTGCAGACATACAAAGAGGGTATTATTAACGCATATATATACGCGGTAACTTGGTAGAAATGGACCACCTAAAAAACAAGAAAGCGTGTGACAATTATGTCCTGGGTAGACCGCTTCCAGCATTAGTCGTTTATGGCTGCAGAGATTATCAGGAGGATATTTTACCATTACTTATTTTATCTTAATATTTAGTATGTACACCATACGATGTATATAAACCCACGTGAAAGAACATATGTATAGCGGACTTGAAGCACCGGCGTTCTGGGAAGTCTGCAGCGTATGAACATGTTCAAGATCGTCCCCACCATTACAATAGATTTGATAGACACCGATTCCTACCAATGATGATTCGCTAGGCTATTGAAATTAAAAAATATCCTAATTTCAATAGAGAAGATAGATGGGTGCTGTCATCTTCTTGGGGTCCTATAAGTAATAAAAACCCAAACCCAAGCATACCACTACAGGACTTCAAGATACTGTAAGCTCATTCTACGTAGATCGGACCAAAAATTAATATTCAAAAAACATCGGGACGTCAAAAATCTCAGACCCCCCCCCCCCCCCCCCCGTGACCATGGGTGCTGTAAAGCATCCGAAACGTCAGGAATTATAAAATTAAATTAAACGCGATAAAATCCATAAAAATTAGTTTCATTTAATGTGTAGTCTTCGCGTAAATATAGGAACTCATTAATTTTACTATTGATAAATACCTTGTATTTATTAATGAGGTAATAGGTGTGCTCTGTTGTGACTGGAAGAGAAGTATGCACGCATGTAAATTTTAGTATTGGCGATATAATTAAAGTATTTGTCGCCGAAATCCAATGCGCAGAAGACAAAATCAAAGCCTTTTGAGTAGGTGTAGGAAATTCATGGCATCGTATCCTGAAATCAATTATAACCTATTAAGTGTCTTAGAAGGTAACTATGTAAAAAACGTATAGTGGTGGACCGCCAAGCATCCAAATGGTGAGAATGGTATCGTGAAATTTGGCGGCTGGAATTGATCCGAACAATTCATCAGCGCACTACTCGTGGTAGATGCGATAGAAAATGCAAAGGGATGCAACATCCCAGCGCGCAGTGAATCAAGCCGATCAGAAAGAACTCGGTCGTCGACGATTCGAACCGCTCTGCGCTGGATGCAAGCAAGTGGAAGAAGCTGGCACTGGGGTGACCCGGCCCAGAGATGAGAACAGTATTCCATGTGGGGGCGAACTTTCGCTTTGTAAAGTTGAAACCAATGTGCCGGCATGAAATACTGTCTCGCTCTGTCGAGCACGCCAACCTTTTAGAGGCAAATTCGGCCTTCCCTTCCAAGTGACCACGAAACTGAACACTATTCGATATGTAGACGACGTTGCTAACTGAGGCAGCAAGGGAAGTGCCTTAAACTGAGGAGATACGACAAAGGGTTTTTTTTTGCGGTAAACGCGCAAACTTGTGTCTTCTGGGGATTGAATTGGACTAGATTTAGTCGGCCCCAAGCCGAGACTTTGTTCAGTAAACACTCGACTACAGACACAAGTTTGTCCCGGTACTCGGTGAAGTTTTCCCGAGAAATATTGGCACGGCCGGTGTATAAGGCATCGGCAGTGCTGTTGTCTGCATTTTTTTTATAGGATAAGTGTGACAAACGAGCACACAGTACATCTGATGTTAAGTGGTTGCTGCGGCCCATAGACATCTACATCTATCCTCTATTACAAATCAAAATGCAGATGCGTTGTCACCCGTGATGGGATGACGAAGATGGAATGCCTCATTTCCAGTAAAAAGGGCCTCCGGCCACTTGCACTCACCAAGCGAAACGCAGAGGTAAACCTCTACTTCACGCTGGTATTCTGTGAGGTCGTGGTACCACCCCGGTTCGAGCCGGCCCATCCGTGCGACAGAAAAAGCCGCCACGTGGCTCTACCACTGTTGAATGCATAGCAATGTATGTTACCAATTTGCAACATATCATTGATATGCAGATGGAACAGCGTTGGTGATAGCACGCAGCCTTGTGGAATACCAGCGTTACTAGGCTTGTAATCAGAGCATGCACCGTCTACTACGACCTTGATGCTCCAATCAGCAAGGAAACTGGTGATAGTAACAGATTTGTGTTATTAATATTCAGTGCCATCAGTTTTAATTATTATATAAGTCTTTAATCTTATTATTATACTAGCTGACCAGGCAGCTGTTATTCTGCCATTTCCAACGATCATTTCTCGTATAATAATAATAATCATCATCATCAATACAGCAGTTCAAAAGTCTACTGCTTAACATAGGCCTCCCCCAAGGTAAGCCACAAAGCACGGTCCTGAGCCACCTGCATCCATCGACTTCCTGCATGTCTTACCAGGTCGTCACTCCATCTAGTGGGCGGGACGCCCTACACTTTGCCGGCCGGTACGAGGCTGCCACTCGAGAACCTTTCTTACCCATAGGTTGTCGGTTCTTCGAGCTATATGGCAGGCTTATATTTACTTCAGCATACTAATTCTTTGGGCTATGTCGGTTACTCTGGTTCTACTGCGAATATTCTCGTTTTTAAGTGTACCACGCAGAAAAACGCCGAGCATAGCCCACTTCATAGCTCGCTGAGCGACTTTGAGATTTCTCATATGGCCCGCAGTGAAAGGACTACGTCTCAGATCCATAGGTCATCACTGGCAACACACACTGGTTGTACAATCTAGTTTTGAGGTTTTGAGGTATGTCTAACGAGAAGATGTGTTGCAATCTCCTGAACGCTGCCTAGCCGAGTTGAAACCGTCAATTGACATCCCGGTCGAAGTTGGACTTACCTAGTGGGACTATTTGCCCCAGGTAAACATAATCGTCAACAACTTTCAGCTTAGTGCTCCCAACAACTCCCGGCATAGGTGTGACATGGACATGATTTTTGTTTTGTCCATGTTCATCTTAAGACCTAGCCGTTGGAAGACAATATTGCGGTCATTTAGTATAGTGATTAAGTCCTCCAGCGATTCCGCCATAAGGACTATATCGTCTGCAAATCGAATGCGCGATATACTCGCCATGGACGTTAATACTGTATCCTTTCCAGTCCAGTAGCTTGAAAACGTCTTCCAATGCAGCAGTGAAGAGTTTCGGGGATATAACGTCATCCCGTGTTACACCTCTCTGCAGTTGGATAGGTTTCGTACTCTGGTTCTGTACTCGGATAGCCATCGTAGCCTTACTGTATGTACAAACATTTCAGCACTTCGATATACCGACAGTCAACTTGGCGCCGCTGAAGGGATTGCAGAACTGCCCAAATTTTGACGGAATCAAAGGCTTTCTTATAGTCTACATACGCAAGAAAAGTGGCAGATTGTACTCTTAGATCTTCTGTACCATTTGGCGAAGGGTATGTATGTGGCCTATGGTGTTAAAGTCTATTCGGAAACCGGCTTGTTTAGGAGGCTGGAAGTCATCGAGTTTACATGTGAGACGATCCGTAATGACTCTCGAAAACAGCACGTTGATGCGGCTCAGAACGGAAATCGGTCTGTAGTTCTTCAAGAGAGCGTTGTCGCCTTTCTTGAAGAATAAGACCACCACACTTCTGCTCCACTCCTACGGAGTAGTGCCACCATGCAGGATGGAATTAAAAAGCTTCTATAGGACTTTAAGTACCGGTTTTCCACCCGCTATCAGAAGCTCCGCTGTAATTGCATCATCGCCCGGGGACTTGTCGTTTTGAAGGTGCTGGAAGCCATTCTAATCTCACTCAGGCTGATGTTCGGAAAATCGTCGGAATAGTGTCAGACAAGACTTGCTCTTGGACCCTTACTCACACTTGCGTGTGGCTCCAACAATGACGTGTACAGCTGCCCATAGAACCTCTCAATCTCACTCAAAATTTCAGGTGAAACGATGCTGCACGACAGTTGGCTCTTTCCTTTCTTTTTGCCTTTGACAGATCTCTGGCAAAGGCTTTGAAGCCCTAGTTCCACTCGAACGCTTCTTAAATACGAGCAGTATTAAACTAGCGTAAGTACTGCCGCATGCATTTGGAGATCTGTCTGTTCAGTTGCCTGTATTCTATCAAATCTACTGAAAACTGCAGCTTTATTTACCGTCTAACAGCCATGAGATTAAGAGTGTGATCGGAGAGTTTTTATGTTCTTCTACGGCGGGTTTTGCAGATTTTGGCTCCGACCGCATGGGCAGTTTCTACGAACTTGTCATTCATATCGTCCACTTCATTGCAGTCTTCTAGGCACTGAAAACGGTTTTATAACTCCAACTGAAAGGTTTTGGGACTTTGAATTAGAGCATGAGGAGAACGGAGCGTTGACTTCATTAGAGGAGAACTCTCCAACTTAACGTTCAGGTTAAGTGAGCCTCTAACCATTCGGTGATCGCTACCAGTTTTCACCCTCGCGATCATTGAGACATCACTGAACAGTTACCGTCTACTCGTCATAATGAAGTCAATCTCATTTTTGTCGAACTGTCTGGGCTCGACCAGGTCCACTCCCTGTTGGGCCGCTCCTGGAAGAAAGAGTTCTTCATAAGGAGTCCCTCTTTTTCCATGAAGTCGGCCAGCTGCTGGTCCCTTGGGTTCCGTTGCCCTTTTCCGAATTTCCCTACTTTCAGCTCACCGTTCTTTCTTGTGCCTAGTTTTTCCTTGAAGTCTCCCATTAACACCGTATAGTGGGTTTTGGAGGAATGCATGGCTCTAGCGATATCCTCATAAATTTCTTTCATACCCTCATCGGGATGTGCCGAGATTGGTGCATGAACCTGTATGACCTTCAGCAA